ATTAATATTTAAAAAGTTTGTCATAGATAAACTAAAATATTTTTTTTTAAAAAATTATTTTTAAAATTGTATATTTTTGGTTTTCAAATATTATTATACCAAATTTCATTTGAATATTCTAAATTGTTAAAAAAATAGATTAGTAGCATATTTATAGTATCAACACAGGCAAATTTGCCTGTGTTGGTCTACAATCTAAGAGATAGCTTCCAATTTCAGATACTCAAGCTTATTGACCTTTGATTCTAATTTGCTCTTTATATTATCTAATTCTGCTATTTTGGATTCGAGAGATAAAATCTCGAATTTTTTTTAGTAAGTCATTTTGAATCAAAATCACATCTTTCTGAGCTAAAGATAACTTACTTTCCAATATTTTAATCATAAACTCAAGTGATTTGATTTTCTTAGATTTTGTAATATTCTTAGCTTTAGATTTAGCAAGAGAAAGATCTTTATAAATATTCTCAGAGGTGAGATTATTATTTTTAATTTTCAACCACATAGTCTCACTAATAAGTTCTAAAGCATAGGTATGTAACTTCTGTTTATCATTAGTATTATTACTAAATATACTTTTTTATTGCTTTCTTTTTCGATTCTATCCCTTTCTCTTCCAATCAAAATTTTTTACTTGCTTAAAATATTTATCTTGTAATTTCTCGCTAAAGTCATTAACTTCAGTTTTATATTTGAGAGCTATATATAACTTTTTTCTAGCTCTTGTTTACGCATACTAGCAAGTCGATAGCCTTTATTAATATCTCGTAGTGTATACGCATTGGTCATATTAATAATAAATATTTTATTAAAAAAGTATCTTTTGAAAAATCTATAGATATTGATATTTATAGATATGATAATAGTAATACGTATCAGTAAGTATTGGCATCATATCAATAAGTATTAATTTTATATCAATAAGTATTAGTACTATAGCAATATATATTAATAAGATTCAATGAATATTGATCTACTATAAAACTAATATATATTGAAAAAATATTGATATTTTTTTTCTAAAATATATATTAACATAAAAATGGTTATTCACCTTCATCAAACCTTCTATCGATCCAATGCAACTTAATTATCAGAGTTTGAAATTAAAGAAATCAGAGATTCAAGAGGAAAAATACTGAATGTATCAAAGAAAATGGCAAAAAAATTTCATATTGATGCTCATCGTGTATATGAAATATGGAAGTATACTAAACATTTTCAACAAGGTCTTAACCATGCCAGCTTTTTAGCTGATGAATCACAAAATATAAAAGCTTCAATTATAGAATCGTTAATAAAAAAAAGAAGATCCAAATCTCAGTCTAAATCTGTATTATGTAATAATAAGCTCCACTCTCATATATCTGATTTAATACCTACTAATAACTCTACAGAAAAAATAAATAGTGAGGATCTGGACGCATTATATGAAAAAGAAGCCAGAAGAGATAAGAAAAATAAAGCAAATATGATTCATCTATTAACTATTACATAGATCTATCTTTTCTTTATTTATTTTATCATCTCTGGAGGAGATATATCCAAGTAGCTTTTCATAACATATTTGCAACTTTTCACAAAGATTATTTATTTCAGTCTTAGACTCAAGAGTAGTATATAGTAATTTTTCTAACTTCTCATAGCTTATGTGTTTTTTTTTAGCACTTTTGATACTTGCTCTGCTAAAGTCAAATTGTCAGAATTTAAGCTAAAACTTGCAAAAGCATACTATTTCTCTAATGGTATACTGTCATCCTTATCACTATCTACTTCCTGTGAAATTTAATCAGATACCAAAGGTTTAGATATAATAGTATCCTCATTATATAAGCTATCTCGAATCGCAATAGCATAATTTACTTCGAGCTTGTTTTTGATCTTGTGCATTATTACTAGAATAATAAAATCTTTGTTATTATAACAGATCTTTAACTTATTTTTATCCCAATCTATAGCACATTTGTATTTCTTGAGAAGTTGGTTTGAGAATATTAACATTGGCTTAGAATGCTTTACAACTACAAAATTCTTATATATAGTACAATTGGAAGTTAGTATTATTGGTAGATTATGAACAATACCAATAGATTTAATTGGAACAGTAGCAATACCACTAAGACCATATTTTACTGATCTATCAATTTTTATATTTACATGCTTAACAATATTTTCTGTTACAATCTCAGTTTTTGCCCTACTATCCAATATCATTGTTAGAATTTTTAAGTGTTTAATTTTAGATTCTATAGTTGCAACACTCATAGCTAGCTCTTTTTTCTGAACTAAGTTTATCTCTATAGGATCATTTAAAGTTTCTTCTTTATTATCCAAATCAGGTATTTCTAAAGCTGGTTCTCTATAATTTTAGCAGAACTAGTTTCACTAAAATCAGATTTTTGAATAGGTAGAGCTAAAGTAGATAAACTTTTAGCATGAGCTAGCATATTAGTGCTAATCTTAGCTTTGAGTTTTTCTATCCAATTTACAGGTGTAATGCTATTAAGTATATTTAATACAACTCTTTGAAGGGATTTATCAATAATGGTGGATTTATTTTGTGACGTACCAGAATTGAAGATCTCTTTTTGGTCCTTCTTGCAAGGTTTGGATAAGTTTCTAACTCGAAGCTTTGCTTTCTTTTTTTTGATTTTGGGTTGCTTTGATTTCTTTCTAGATAGCAATTTTGTGAAGTTGCTTTTATGCTTTACTTTTTTTTTACTATAAAAATATAAACCTTAACGTCACTTTCAGATTCAGATTTAGCTGAGGACTTTTCAGAATCAGATCCTGATTTAGAGCCAGAATTAGATTCATTATCAGAAGAGTTAGAATCTGAACTTGATTCTAAACTCGAATCTATAGTGATGATATTGACTTTATCTTTCTTTTTAGATTTATTTTTAGACTTGCTCTTTTTTTTATTTTTAAAATACTTGTAAGAATTATGTCTAGTCTTATTACAATTTAAGCAATGATATTATATCTTTGTAGCTTTTTTAACAGACTTAGCTATATGCAACTTCAACTGCTTCTTTGTGATATTGGCCAATTTTTCATTGGAGTCAACTTCAACTTTCTTTATTACTAGTTTTAGAGGCAAATTAGGCTTGAGGATAGGAACAAATTTTGAAACCTCCCTAGTAATCTATTGTACAAATCTATCTATTAATATATCTTGTATTTTTTGATATATGCCAGGAGGTTGTGGTCTATAATAAGGTTGAGGTGTCTGCAATAGTTGTGATAGCTATATTTGCTGAGAAACTGATTGTAGAGAAACAAATTGAGATTGTGTAGATATTATTGATTTAGATAATGATTTATAACTAGACTGAGGTATTTTATTAACCAATTCTAATTTTTTCTCTGCTTTTTGCATTTCAATTCACTCCAAAATTTCAAAAAGATCAGCTAATGGTTGCTCAGTACTAATACGTTCTGTATTATCCTTCAAGTCAGAAGACAAATCTCGTAAAAATTGATTCTTAATCTGTTGCTTATCAAGATTAAGCATTTTTTCATATTTTAAGAGTTTTGAGTAAAATTCTTTTATAGGTTCACTTCTTTAAGCTAATAATCTATATACTAAATTGCACTTCTCACTTATTTCTGTAGAATATTTATTTCTGAGCCAATATAATGCTTGACCAATTCAAATATCGCCAAATACTATAGAATTAGTATTACCTGTATTAATTGTATTAATGGGTCTATCTGATGGTTGTTCTCCAGCCAGATGCCAATCTTCAGTAAAAGCTTTAGCTAGAATCATAGAAACACCTACTGTTACTGCATTATTACCAACTATGTTTGCATAATCATGAGCAATTGAAGGATTTTTAAAGCTATTACTAGTATTCATCTGTGCTATAATGTGATCTTGAAGAGCACCCATATTAGCCTGGCTATGATTTGTAAAAATATTGTGAAGTTCTTATCATTTACCAAGAATTTTTTGATCAAACTATTCTAATGTTTACCCGTGTAGACATCCTCTAAAAATACCAAATACTTGATCCCAATTGGCAAGTGGGTCTATACCAGTGCTAGCTAAATATGATAATAATCAACTAATAAAAATATCAATATTCTTGTCATATTAGGGTGTGGTGATTTAGTGTAGTTGGTAAGTTATTGTACCCCCAAGCAGCAGGACAAGAGTTTGAATCCCACTGTCGATGAAATTCAAATTTATAGAATATATTTGGAAGACTGTATCCTATTGAGTCAGCACCTGTAATGGGTCGCACTAGTACTAAATGGTACTGAGAGGTAGTGGAAATACTGTATAATATATAGGTTACATAACAGTGAAGCTACCGGGTAAAACCAGCAGATTAAGATACAGAAATCTGCTTGGTAAGACCCAAATAGAAAGATAGTACATATCTTTGACGGTACTACAAAATAATCCAAAAAGGGGGAACCGAATAGCAGGAAAAGGGAGACTAGAACGGGACCAAAGTATTTGGCAAGGCACTCCACCAACCAGGCTGCCGAGTAAGTAACCGGAGAAAAAGGACCCAGTTGTAGAGACCAGGAGCAGATCACAGCCCTTCTGGGCTATTTGGATTGGAAGTTTAGAGAACCTGAAGTATAGCTTAGTTTAGGAAACCAGAAGTATAGGTTGTTAAGTGTGTATCGGGGTTTGGCGAACTCTATAAAGGCAGGAGTAGATTGTGTAGCAGTGATTAGGAAACTGGGGTGCAAGTAGCAGGCCTCGGCCCATACGTATCAACTGAAGCCTAGATCAGCCAGATTGTAGATGCAGAAGGCTCTAGCAGGTTTACCCTGAGAATAAAATTGTTCTAAGGTAGTTACTAAAGAGTATTGTATTGAGGTTATATATATAGAAATATATGTACGATGGATATAGATCATCTAGTTGTAAAAATAATCCAAACAATAATAAAGTACTTGACTGAAGGGGTCACCTTAACATCAAAAAAAAATATATATATATCCTTGTCATATTCACCTGAAAAATTTGGTAGTAGTAGTGGTTATAATGCTATATTCGCTTATATATTTATAGATAAATTATTTTAAAGCACAAAAATTTGTTGATTTAAATTTAAAATTAATTGTTCAGAATTTCATGCTTGAGTTTTCTTTTTATTTCATTTATTCTATTTAATATCAAGCTGAATATCAGTAAGTAATTGATTATTTTCTAAGGTTTTGTATTTATTTTTCTATTTGGTATATTGATTTGTTGTAAGATTTAAGAGATGCATAGTAATTGTCCCATCTGTCTTATATTTTTGTAGTTGCTATTAGGTTTGTTTATTTAAAAGATGAAATGCAAATTTTTCTTGAATTAATTTACTAACCTATCTATTTTTATCATGATATAAAAACCACTAGTGACAGCATTCTTTTGTTTCATTATTATAAGCTATAGTCATTAAATTCAAGTCTATATTAGTATCATAGGGGGCATCTATAAATAACGTTATATACCCCACATAGTAGCTCTTGACCCTCCCTAGACTATATAAAAAAAATTTAAAAATCCGTATATTTATATATAAATTTTTACAAAACCTTGATTATCTTGTGATTCAGTAATTCAAATTAGATACATTTAGTATCATTAGATTCATCTCAATAAAAGGAATCTAATGGTACCAAAATTATTTAATTTGGATCACTAGATCAAAGGATATAGACAAAAAACGGTTAATTCTATAGTAATTTCATATAAAATAATATATCTAATAGTTTTTTGCCAATATCTTTTAATTCAGTAATCCAAATTGAATAATTTTAGTTCTCTTACAAAGACGAATCCAATGGTACCAAATTCATTCAATTTGGACCACTAGGTCATGAGATATTAATATTTTTATAAAAAAATTAGGTTATTTTTCTTTAACCCCCTCTAACTTAGCAAAAAAACATAAAAAA